GGCCTGTTTTTCCTCTCGTAAAGGCAGGTTTGGCTGATCTGGCTCATTAAAAACGTGGAAACAAACACCGAAGCCAACAACGAGCCAAACGCCGAAACAACCTACCATTTAACCCATCAAATACAGGGCACTCTTCATTAGGCATTTCTTAAAACATATGCTTTTCCTCTATGCCTGGAAATAGTTTTCTTTTTTTTTTTTTTTTTTTTTTTCAGAAAATATGTCTACTCCTCTGTATTGTAAATACATTACCTGTAAATAAGCAATTATTAGAAAGCATTCAAAAAAATCAAAACAAAGCAAATTAAATTCTCAAGTTCCTTTTTTACACAGGAAAATAGGAAATAGGAAAGGAGAAGGAGAAAACCATGACAAATGCCACTGATCAGAAATATGTGGAAGAACTTTCCAGTACTTCTGATGGCATACAGAGAACATTTCGGCACATTTCAGCTGGGAGTTCACATTGGTGAGACAAGAAGCTGCAGTGAAACAGTGGGCAAGCAGATCTGTTAACTTAACATATGCTGACTGCAGTTTTACTGACAGCATGGAAAATAAATGTTTACTATTGCATCTGCAGTGTGGAAAACAGTGAGGATAACTGCTGTGTGAATTGGAAATTTGGTGTATCATATTTGCGGGGGCGTAGATAGAAATTCTGGGCCCAGTACACAGACAGGCTCTGAGGGCTCCTCCACTCTTTATAAAAATATAAATAAAAAAATCAGATTTTCGTGGGCCTGCTCAAACCCTTGAGCCCTGTATACTTGGTCCCCTTTTCCCCCTGTATGTTACACCCCTGCATATGTAGTACCATAGTTAAATCTGGGTGGGTGTTAGAAAAAAAAGTTTTAAAAATAAAGTAAAAACAGAAATTTTGCCACGGACCTCGTCCCCCATGTGGGGCTGGAACTCGAACTTGGCGGGGGGGCAGAAGGCGGTGGGGTACATCTCCATGAAGCGCTGGCGGTCGCTGCGTGGGTCCAGGCTGTCCACCGCGTTCTCCATGATGTCCAGCCCCTCGTGCCGCGATGTCTCCAGGTTGTACTCGGCCGACAGGTAAGTCCGCAGGGCCCGGTTCAGGCTGGCGTGGTACCCCAAATCACAGCACTGCCCGCGACAACACACCAAATAACAGGGCCTTCAGGTCAAGGTCACCCCATAAATCACATTTCCCATTGAAAAACATACAAATAAATTCATTACAGCACTTCCTCCCGACAAAAAAACTAACTAATGAGACCTTTTGCTCACAGGGTTTCCACTCATTATATTTCAGAATTTAGCAGTCTCTCTTACCCAGAGCAACTAACACAGTTTATATTTCTACACAATTTCTATTTAGGCAGCTGGATATTTACTAAAGCAACTCCGGTTAAGTACCTCGCTCAAGGGTACAAAACAGCAGTGCCCTTCCTGGACTTCCAACCAGCAACCCCGAGGTCACAAGCACAGCTTCCTACCCACAATGCAACACTGCTGCCCCTGATCCCTGAAATCACGCCTACACCTTCCATTAAAAGACACATATGAATACCACCAATGCTGCCGTTCACCAGCTTTCGGGAAGGCCTCACTCAAGCTGGGCCATGGTTCATTTCTCCTCCAGCGGAAAGGGGACATGTACTTTGCCAAGTGGCCAGAGGCTGGCCTTGCTTTCCGTCGGCTTCCCCATTAGCACTGGGAAAGGTGAAAAAGAATTTTCCAGGTAAGCCCCTTTGTCCCCCCCCCCCCCCCTTTATAAATAAATGATATCCAGGCCAGGTTGTGGAGGAGCTGCAGTTACAGAGCTCTTCCCTGAGAGCTCCATATATTCAGAGGCCACAGGAGATACGAGCGACGAGCGTTTCATTAAATGGGTTTCTAGGGCAAGGCCTCGTCTCAGCTAAAAAAAAAAAAAAAAAAAACTTTCACAAAACAAAAAAAAATAATTTCACACATAACTATGACATTTAAGGTAAGCGCTCTGACATTATCTCAACCCGACCCAACGGCCGTTCAAAACTCAGACCTGAAATGTGAACCTCCGAAATTCCAGCACGAGAATTTATGAGCACTGTACAGCAAGAAATATGACAGCAATAAAAAGTACATGTAAGATAAAAATACTTTCATAAAAAATACAATTACACTACATTAACTACATGACATTTAAGAACTGTACACCAAAAATTCTCTCACCCAGCCAGCAAGCAATGCAGGGGGGAACTATGGGGGGTACTCCATAGAAAAAATCTGCATTACCCAAAGATACAAAAATGTTTGGGTGTTCAGGCCTGAACGTTAGTATGAATGCTAAAACCCTGCTCTGAAAGTGAACTTTCTCCTTGTATACAGTAGATCAGTGGTGTCAAACTCCTGTTCTGCAGGTTTTTGGTGTGTTTCAACACTTCATTCATTATTTAAAACCTATGACTGGCTATTGAGTCCACACACCTGGTTTCCAAGGCCTAAAATGGCTGCCGACTGAGTGGAAACGACAACGCCACACAACCACTGCGTCCCTCCAGGGGCTGGAGTTTTAACCCCTGCCGCAGACAGACTTGTTCAGTGGTAAATATTCCACCCAG